TACACAATTATGACCACAGATACAGAACAAGATCACTAGTGTGTTGTACTATTAACATACTGAGTGGTATTATAGTGATTTAATTGTTTATTTATTTAGAATAGAATAGAATTGATTCTACATTGGTATTATTTATGCGTTGTTAACAGCATCATTGTGTGTGTTTCCTAATTTTGAATATTTGAATCTTATTAAATGTAGTTATTTACAAAATGCCACATATCTTTTTAACTTGTAGCATTTGATTGTTTTTGAGGTTTGTCGTTTAACAGGGTGACCCTTTGAAATAAAGTTATGTGAGTTTGAATAAGCTCACACGACACGTTTGTAACACTCACAGGCACGTTTAGCAAATACAGGAGATGAGCTCAAGTTTACTCTGTTAAACTTTCCACATGAAGAAGTAAAATAAGCCAAAGTTTATACAAGTGATGTAGATGTCTTGAAAATGAACTTCCTACAGTTTAGTACAAAAGTTGATAGATTCAACAGCCTAACTATGATAATTAATTTGATGCACATACATATAGTCATTAAATAAAAGATTTAGTGCTGCCGTGACAGCATTATTTTGATTATTAAAACTTTATAACCAGGAACATGATTGATATATTGTATCAGACTTCATTAGTTTTAGCTAAATGTACTTAGGAACAAATTAGGAACTAAATACAATGTCTAATGTAAAATATATATTGACTATATTGTATATATACTAATTTTATAGTGTTTTATTGCTGTCAAATGTCAGTCTGTCTGTCAAACAATGTATCTTCAAATTTTGTGATTTTTAATATTTTAGATAATTTTGGTAACTGAATTAATAATTCCTTTAAAATCCACTGAATTAATAGAAAATAATCATTGGAGATACATGTTTTTTATAGGATTTTTTCAGCAATAAGACTAAAATAAGGAACAAAAAACAACATAGTGCAAAAGCTCTGACAAAATTAAATAGATAATAAATTAAATCAACTTGTATATATATTGTTTTCCATTACTTCACAACCCTTCCAGTCACACACACATACACACACCTTACAAATTAGATTTAAAACACCACACTCAGTCAACACCTGCTGCTATAAAAACTGAGTATTAAAACACTTGAGTCATGGCTGTAACTTCAATAAAACTCTTTCAACAAGACAAGTCAACACCGGCAGGCTATAAAAAAAACAACTAACAATGCTAAAATTAGAGTGAGTCATATGTTCTTCACCTTGTTTTGTTTGGTGTGTTAAAGCTCGGTCACACACTGTTTACTCAGAGCTCTTCTTCCAAATAAAAGATATGAAACACTGGGAATTTAACACAGCTGCTGTTTGCAGACACATCTGAACAAACAGGAGCTTATTTTCTTTTACTATATGTCCAGTCCCAGTGTTATTGATGAGTTACTGTAAGCAAACGTTCTTTAAAAACTTACTGGAAACTGGATTTTACATTTATCGCATTGTTTATCAATTTCATTTAAAAATAATCCAGGTGTTGAGTGGCATTCATAGTGTGGGCATAAAAGCATTTGAACCAACTTTCAACAGGAGATTAAAATCACTCAGGACCGCACGTTTATTATTATTCCACTATGATTATTACAGGAAGACACTTATATGGTGGTGAGTCTAGAATCAGGTGATTACTGGATAAATATTCTTATCTACTTAATGTTCTCAGCTCTGAACGTCTAATTAGTGACTCAAATATTGTCTAACATGAGTAATCAGGATTTTACAGCGATGAATTCAACACAAGATGTATTATGATATGATCCTAAACCTCCTATGATTGGTTATTATTATCACTATTAGTTATTATAATCATTATTTTACACCTAACTCAGTTAAGGATCCAAAAGGCAAAATGGCTGACACCATATATCGTTGTAAGAAAACATAAAAATGTTATTTTCATTAATTTAAATGAAATGTGGTACCTAACATAACACAATTAAAGGCTGTAATATGATGATTGATTTTTCTGTCCTTACAGTTAATAATGATGATAATTATGTCAGCCTACTCAGATAGATCCTGTATCTCGTCTACCTGGAATACACTACAGTGCACTTTCTTCTTAAAACCACATGGGTGCAGTGCTCTCTCAGGCTGAAGGAAGCACTCAGCAGACTTTCTGTCTCTACAGCTCAAGAATTCAAAGTAAAGTGTTTCTTTGCACTAAGAAAAACGTCACATGACGTCAGAGCCAGAAGAAGATCGACCGGTCTGATTCACCCACTAAAGATTCAACACATGGTCCTGATACCTGTGAGGATAGAGGACACAGCTGACTGTTAATGAATAGTGTCCCAGCCATAAAGTTAGGCTGCAAATGAGGAAAAGTAGACCAGAAAACACAAAGTTAATAACATTTCAAGTAAAGTATTTTATTTAGGTACAATTTCATGACATAAAAACATATGATACGTGTCTAGAATACAATACATTATTAATGATTAACCCATTGGTTTCCAACCTGTTTCATAGCATCTACTGAGGCATCATGTTATGTTCCAGATGTCTATAAATTGTTAATAGTTTCAGCTATAGGGGATATTCCTTTATTTATCCATTATTTCTAAAAAATAACTTCAGTTTTTTGTTCTTTCTTTCGTCATCTTCTCATGACCCTCACATTTACTTTGTGGCCTTCTGGTGGGACCTGACCCCTATGTTGGGAACCACTGGATTTAACAACCTAATCTTATATAAAATAGTTAAAATTAGCTCCACCTTGCTGTAAAAATAAAATTAAATCAGTATAAACAACCGAATCATGAAATAACATCACTGACAGCAGAATGAGTCCTTTTACTTTTGAGACATTTTGTTGATTAATGTAGTCTGAATGCAGTTACACTCAAGTGAAAGGATCTGAGTACAATTCCACCTCAGCATTCAAGGTGTTCATGGATTATTTGAACTGTTTGTGCTATACATCACTCTAATGTCTGAAAGAAGAAGAACCTGAGCCATCTGCTTGAAGGAAAGCCAACAGACTGTCCTTCAAGCAGATGGCTCAGGTGACTGTATCTGGTTGTATAACTATAGCCTGACCTCTGACCTTAACAGAGCAACAAAGGTGAAACATAAGAAAACACTATAAATATACTTATAAATGAAGTCGGCTGCTGCCTCAGGAGACGTCTCTTTGGTGCCTTAGTTAGAGAGGAGAAGCTGTCAGTCACATTTCAGCACCGGACGGCTCCACAACACAATAATCTTAAATATATAAATAGCCAACTGCGTCAGCTTTTCATCACCATCCGGTAAAAAAGAAAACACGTATCATCATGTTTGTGATTTTAAGTTTTCCAGATAGATGGTTTATGGTTCCTTTAAGGGTCTTTCTTTTAAGCTCAATAAACTATTTAAAAACCTGGACTATCTGAAAGATGGAGAATCATAAATCTGAATACAGACCGGTTTTTATTAACTCAGTTGATGTTAACTTATTGCTGCAATAAGCTTAAAACAAGAAACAAAAGTTAATGAATCCAAATCCTTCGACCGGATGACTCAGGTTTAAACTCTGTACAATAAACTGGTTATGTAACTGAACCTGACCTCTGACCTTAACAGAGGTGGAGAGGTGAACATGGGGGGGGGACACTACAAATATACAGTATAATATACAAATACACTTACATCTCTGGTGCTTTGGAGAAACTCTGAGTCATATTTCAACTCTACAAGACAACAGCTAATGTGAAATATATAAATATGCTTAAACGTCAGCTTTTCATCGCTGTCGAGTGAAGATAATGTATTCCCATATTTGGTGATTTTAAATGTTTTAGACGCCGGATTAAAAGTTCCATTACTGACAACCTCTGAGCAACACTTAAGTATGTGGTTGTGTAACTGACCTCTGGCTTTCACAGAACTGGAAACAAAGAAAGAATAACTCCTAAATGTTGGTGAATGTAAGTGCGCTGCCTCAGCCATCATCTCTCTGATGCCTCAGTTAGAGGAACTTTTTGTAGAAGGCGAGGCTGTGTAAGTTATGATTCAGCACACTTGGACAGCTCCACTTTTACATTTCAGCACTTGGACAGCTCCTTCATCC